CTGGGTCGTCGTCTCCCTCACACAACTCATAAACCTGTTCACTCAATTAGCAGAAGAGTGGCAGTTTTCTCCTCCCAGGTGGAGACAATATGAAGACGGGGAGGAGGGGGGGAGGCTTCTGGCCTCCTCCTTCTTATAAACTTCCTGACATGACACAAAAGTTGTCTTGACACAAGCGTTGTCTTGACACAGGTACTATTTTGACGAGAGGGAGAAGGGAGAAAAGAGAGGAGATAAAGAAGAGAAAATCGAGAGAGAGCGAGAGAGAGAGAGAGACCATGAGTCAGCATCACAGTCATACGTCCACCTTAGGGCTGCACAAGTCCACTTAAATCATCCGGTAAGAGACTAATCGACCATAAAACGAGACACATCCGCCGGGTCAACATCTCTCCTGGTCCTGTGCTCGTAAAACTGCGAGGTCTGCGGGTCTCTCTCAACCTCTCTCACGGTAAAGTCTCTCTCTAAAGCCCTGGTTACTTGTTACAGTCTCTCTCACTGCTTATTTGTTAGTCTCTCACTGTCTTTTAATGTTTCTCACTATTTCTCATACGTCTGTCTCAAATCCTTCCATATATCTAAGTTAATTATCTCTCTCATGGCAAAGGTTAAGTATACAGTATATCCCATCACCTACTGTAGTCTACTGTAGTTAAGGTGTAGTCTTAGCATCATTTAGACGCCATTAAGTTAGAGTTGTATGTTAATTGACCCCAATAACCTCACAGCCTCGTAGGTTAAATACTCTCTCTCTCTCTCTCTCTCTCTCTCTCTCTGGTAATACAGAGTTAAAGGTAGAATCTCAGTATCACTTGGAAGACATTATGAGGCAGGTAGAGGACTCTGTATATTAACCGTTAAAAAGTATTAAATTCAACCTAATAGCGTATGAAAATCCGGGGAGCCAAAAGCAAGACTCATAAAAGATCGTAAGTTAAATATTTATCTCGTTAAGTGAAGACGTAAGATTCAGCATATGTCAGGGGATGAAAAATTAACTCACAGAATCTTTATGAGTCAGGATCTGGTCATAATATTTGTGAGTCAGGATCTGGTCATAATGTCTGTGAGTCAGGATCTGGTCATAATGTTTGTGAGTCAGGATCTGGTCATAATGTTTGTGAGTCAGGATCTGGTCATAATGTTTGTGAGTCAGGATCTGGTCATAATGTTTGTGAGTCAGGATCTGGTCATAATGTTTGTGAGTTAGGATCTGTCACGTCCAGCGATGAAATGAGACCAGTGACCACCATGCATGAGTGGCGGCCTCTTGAGTGTATGGGTGACGACCACAGAGTGTCCCCTGAGTGTTTGAGGGCCAGGGAGGGGCCAACAGACTTGTTTATCTGTCAATCATAGCCGTTTATACCTGTCTAAAATCCCTCTCAATGTCATCTATGTCGACCTGTTTAAAATTCTTGTCAATATCCACTTTTACCTGTCTAAAATCCGTCAATATCATCCGCATTTACGTGTCTATTTCCCTGTCCAAATCATCCACATTTACTTGTCTAAAACCATCACCAATAAAGAAAAATCTCGTCAGCGGTGAAAAAAATTATCATTATTATTATCATTATTATTCCGAGATTTCTACACGTCATCATGAGGTGAGTGAATGACCTTGTCTCTGTCTTGATCAACTGAGTCGCCTCCTACTTGGCCGAGTGCCAGGTCGTGCTTCGGGGTATTATCTCGAGGTCGAGTCTCACCGGCGATGTATTACTTGGAGTTGAGTCTTAGCCTTGAAGTATTACCAGAAAGTAGAGATTTAGCTGTGAAGTATTACAAGGGATTGAGTCTTAGCTGTGAGTATTACCAGTGGGTGAGTCTTAGCTGTATTACCCGTAAGTGAGTCTTAGATGTGAAGTATTACCATATGACAAGTATTTCAAGAGTTAACCAACAGAGGATGAAATATTACCAGAAGTTGAGTATTACCAAAGGTCGAACATTACTGATAGTCGAGTATTAACAAGAATCGATCCGCAGTAGTGAATATTATCAAAATCGAATATTACTGATGATTAATTACAATCAACAGTGCGGGCATAAGTCAACAGTCCGGGCATAAGTCAACAGTCGGGCATAAGACAACAGTCCGGGCATAAGTCAACAGTCCGGGCATAAGTATTGAAATATTAACATGGGGTCGAGTATAACCCAAAAGGTCGAGTAACTGAACACTATTAAGAGTCGAGTAATTACTTCAGGGTCGAGTGTTAGGAATGAATTATTTCCTTGGGTGTGAAGGCTGACCTACATTACAAGCGATTACCATTACTTACTGGCTCGTGTGTGTGTGTGTGTGTGTGTGTGTGGGACAATTTACACACACACACACACACACACACACACACACACACAAAGTAATTTAGTCAAATAGGAAAACTTTAGGATATGAAATGAAAAATTGTAGTTACGCTTTTCAGAACTAAAACCTTAAAAATTCGTAGGAGTTTGGGGATATTTTTGGGGGAAGGAACGCTTGGAGGGAGAGAACTGGCCCGCCTGTACCCTCCTCACTCGTATTTACTCATGTTTTCACGTATTTACTCATAGTTTTGTCGAATTTACTCACATGTTCACGTATCTACTCATTTTTTCACGTATTTATTAACCTTTTTCTCGAATCATGAATCTTTCTTCTCGTTAATCACATTTCTCGTATGAACATAAACACGCACAACAAAGTTAATAATAATAATAATAATAATAATAATAATAATAATAATAATAATAATAATAATAATAATAATAATAATAATAATAATAATAATAATAAAACAGCAGCAACAAAAACATACAAAAAAAACAACAACAATAATTACAAATACAAAGAAAAGCAACAATAACAATAATAAAAAAAAAACACAAATAAATTTCCTCCGTTCCCACATAAAACACAGGTACTATAACACACAGAGAACCTTACAGACACACACACACACACACACACACACACACACACACACACACACACACAACACACACACACACACACACACACACACACACACACACACACACACACACACACACACACACACACACACACACACACACACACACACACACACACACACACACACACCAAGTTACCATCACTGAAACACAACACAAGATAACAAGAGACGCCGCTTACTGATAAGAGATAACAGTGAGGTAAGAGAAAGATATTGATAAAAGTTATATAAATTATTACTTTAATGTGATAAATATTTAAAACAATATATTTCAAATTTTCAACTATAAAAAATAAGATTAAATATAAAGGTATAATTAAATTCAAAGGTAAATAATAATGTTCTTTTTTTTAAGTGATTTCTATGTTCACTTATACTTTTCACCTAATATACCTGTTTAAGTAAAGAGGTTGACTGACTGACTGACTGACTGACTGACTGACTGACTGACTGACTGATTGAGGTAATAACATCCCTGGCATTGTGAAGACCCTGTTAGAGGTCATATTATGTCCATCATAAATACCCATTATATAAAACGTTACCAATGTTTACAAAATGAAGTGTTTAATGAGAATGATGTATCGTAAAGCTGCTTCACCACAACACTCAATTAACTCAACAATAATACAGGTACAGGAATTAACTTTTCTATTTATAACTCCACCGTAAATTTCCTGTCACTTATCAACACTAAAGTATGAATGTAGTTCGATTTTATTTACTTTTTGGGTTTTATTTACATTTTTTTGGGGTCACATAAGTGCAGTTTAAGGAACTATTTACTGTATAACAAACTTAACATACTTAAATAATTACTACTTTTAATATAATGTACAGATGCACTCTCAACCTCTAGTCCCTCTTATAGGTATGTTAGTCATTATTGAATCATTATGTATGCTGTAGAAATGCTCACTGAACCCCTGTAGTGTGTGTGTGTGTCAGTCCTGTTGTTGTCAAGACTGTGGTAACGAGGAAACCACTCTTTCTCATCCCCCCTCCCCTCCCTCCTCCTCCTCCCTCCACTCTCTATAAAAAAAACAGCTGACGATCGAGGAAAACAAAGAAGCGAGGGAGTTAAGGATTGATCCAGTTGTGTTTATTACTGAGTTACTTATACAAACATCCTAAACTATATGTTTGGTTAAGTCTTCCCTTTAATAGAACAAAAACATATACAACACAAAACAAATACCTTACACTTGCAAACAAATAAAATAAATAAAAAAAAACTTAAAGCAAAACAAACAAAAACAATAAACAAAGCAAGACAAATATCCTACGTGAGCAAAAACAAATAAACATACAAACAAACACAAAGGGAACTAATTATCTTAAACACAAACACAAAACAAACACAGACCCCCAGTTAAATCGTGCGCGTCATCACAACATAACACAATACAATAATTACATAACATTAATATTTTCCCTAAATAAACATGACTTGGAATAAGAAGAATATGAAGGGGAAATGCGTATCAGGTATCATATTTGCGGTTAATACGCATATATAACAGGAAAATGCTTATCAATGTGTCATGTTTGCAGTCAATGCGTATACATAACACGGAAAAATGCTTACCAGTTGTCCTATTCCTGATGAATAAATATAAAACAGGAAAATGCGTATAAGGTTTCACTTCCTAGTTCATCTGCAGGAAAATGCGTAAGTTTTGTCTTCTTTATCTTTCGAGTCACGATACATATGGCAGGAAAAAATGCGTATGAAGTCTAATCTCCCGTTCAATATACACGTCATTCAGGAAAATGCGTACGTTTCGATTCTAGGAAAAAATATAAGATAAATGAAAATGCGTAAATATTTTGTCTATGTTGAAAAAAAAGTTCCAGGAAAATGCGTAAAAGTCTTCATTATCCTGATCAACAAACTACATAGCGCCAGTGTGTTTACCTTAACGAAGAGCAATACATTACTTTGACCTACCTTGACCTACCCTGTTTCTTTGACCTGTGTCTCTAATTCCTCTTGATCTGTTTATTCAAGTTTGACATGCCAATTACACCTACCTTGACCGTTTCGCTGTTGAAGGTCATCTCCACTACATCGAGTGAGTAGTCCTTCCTCTTCCCCTCGTCCGTGAAGCTGATGTTACCTGTCAGCCCCTCCACCTCCACCTGCAATACACGAATAACACCTATTCAACATTTGCAACGCAGGTATAACACTTATTAACATCTGCAACACAGGTAAACACTTCATTAACATCTGCAACACAGGTAAACACTTCATTAACATCTGCAACACAGGTAAACACTTCATTAACATCTACAACACAGGTAAACACTTCATTAACATCTGCAACACAGGTAAACACTTCATTAACATCTGCAACACAGGTAAACACTTCATTAACATCTACAACACAGGTAAACACTTCATTAACATCTGCAACACAGGTAAACACTTCATTAACATCTACAACACAGGTAAACACTTCATTAACATCTGCAACACAGGTAAACACTTCATTAACATCTACAACACAGGTAAACACTTCATTAACATCTACAACACAGGTAAACACTTCATTAACATCTGCAACACAGGTAAACACTTCATTAACATCTGCAACACAGGTAAACACTTCATTAACATCTGCAACACCCGAATCACCAAACAAATTGACAGTAGAAATGCTAATTAGTCACACCTGAAAGAGAAGTATAAAGGTAAAAAGCAGATCAATGACCAGAATTTCCTTAGATTACAACTAAATTCCAGGTGATAATAATCCAGAGAATTTAATTGAGGATTTATTCTCTTTAAATGTAGGAATTTTGGGGACTAAATGCCAACTACCTGCTCGGGAAAAGAAATATACAGAAACTATATATCTCATCTATCTCTAGCGATTTATTTCTTCATATAGTTTACTTTGAGAAATATCTAAAAGGGAGTTTAGAAGAGGAAATAATGCAGAGGTATATAATATACTATATATCTCTCATAATCTTTCCTCACCTGATTACTTTGAGATATTTATAATGAATCGTCAGAAAAATCCTCAAGCTATTTTTTTTTTTCAGAGATCTTATGCAGAATTATGACTCAAGTTATAATTAAAACTTTCACAGAAAATATTCTTAAATCATCGAAGTCTTGATTAGTCTGGCCCACCCCCACCCCCAACCCCCCACCCCCTGACCCCCACCCCCCCACCCCCCCTCACCTTCACTCTCCCCCCACCTCCACCTTCCTATCAATATGGAACACCTTGCCAGTTAAATTAACAAGGTAAACATACTCGGTACAGTGATGGAAGTAGAGGTGGGTACAGTGTGGGTATAACATTTTATGTATTCTAAGCCTTCGGTACACCAGGAGGTAGAGTTACCGGTACTGTACTCGACCACATTCACTTCCCCAACTGTAATGCCAGGTACTCATTTACAGCTGGGGGGATTGAGGGTATCTAGGAATCGAACCAGCGACCCCTGGGAGAGGAGACGAGTGCAGGATTTACGTCACATTGTGGTAAAGCCTAAAACAAAAACGTCTTAAATTCCTTACAAAAATTCTGCTCTGGAATTCATCACAGTTTAGAGTTTATACCTGCACAGATCCTTACCTCTGGGTCCAGGTAAACCTCACCTGAGATACATAATTAACTACGACACAACAACATGGAGAAAATAAAACCAAGTTTGTTTCTCGGTAAAATATCCTCAAAATCCCACCAACACAAACATTTTCTGGATGACAAGAAAACTGAAACGTTAACACGAGGTGAAATGCTTCTCTTACACCACAGTCCTGAGAGAGTGTCCCTCGTTGAGGACCACAAGGAGTCCTCCATCACGACCCGGGGGACCACCTTAAATATGAAGGCCGAGGTTGTGGTCCTCCCTCAGTACTTGGGCAAGGTGTTGGTGGCGACGGTAGTGTTGGTGGGGGTGTTGGTGGGGGTGTTGGTGGCGGCGGTGGTGTTGGTGGCGTTGTTGGTGGGGGTATTGGTGGCGCCGGTGGTGGTGGCGGCCTCACAGCACTACAGGTGGTGGTAATGGTGGCACTGTCCTCCTGCCACAACACCGCCACCTCTTGTGTGTTGCATAATCGTGGTAATACTTCGGTTAATTTCTTCAGTATTTGTTGTTTAAGGAAATGAAGTGAAATAGTCAACGTGCTGAAGAACCTTAGTTGTTGAAGGACAGAAACGCATAACAAGAGTCGTTGCGTCATCTTGTTGACAGCTGTTATGACGTGTACAACATCATCACTCCAACATGTTAAGCTTTTATCATTACATCAGTGGCTAGCCTTTATCACAGACATTCCCTCCATCTTGTGGCGGTAATAAAGGCAATAGCCGTTATATTACTCATCTTTCTGTAAACTTGAGTCAAAATTTTTATTACTCTCATAAAATTTGTTGGCCATAACGTGGTAATGAAGACAAGAGATACGATAAACCTTACGGAATAATGTTTCTGCAAACTTTGGCACACATTTCATTTCATTTATATACAGCCGAGGCATCAAGTGGCAGTCTTGATGATGTGTGAGAGGCAACTGGCCCCCAACACGCTGGACATTTGCATAATCCTCAACTTTTGGTGGATTCCAGGGATCACTTGGTAAAGAGGCCGCAGATGGGTGTCATACACTCGTAATCACACCCTTTTATCGTTTTATTTACCTATCAGTTTTGTTTATTTTTTTATCATGGTGAAGAACCAAAACACAAGCCAGCGACTCAACACAACCAGTCCAGTGAGAATTATTTTACGACTCAGTCCACGCAATCAACAGGGGAGACGACTCAGTCCACGCAATCAACAGGGAGGGGAGGGGGGTGGTGGTGAGGGGTTATGTGTGATGTCTCCTGTTTACCTGAAGGAGGAAAAGTTAGGGATAGGGATAGGATAGGATAGGATAGGTTAGGTTAGGTTAGGTTAGGTTAGTTGGAATGTTAATGACAGCAGGACACACACACACACACACACACACACACACACACACACACACACACACACACACACACACACACACACACACACACACACACACACACACACACATTCATTAACAAACACAAGAGTCATGAGTATTGTTGTCATGGGAGAGACCAAATCCAGCTGGTTCACTGAGGCAACTTTACAAAACAATAGTTATTTTCTCTGTCTATAACCCCGAGTTGTGGTGGTGGTAGTGATGTTGGTAGTGGTGAACAGGAAATGACTCTCTCTCTCTCTCTCTCTCTCTCTCTCTCTCTCTCTCTCTCTCTCTTTAAATTTCCCTATTCCTCTCCTCTATTTTTTCATTCACCTCTTTGTATTTTTTCGGTTATTTTTTTCTTTCTCTCTTATTTTGTTTTCACTCCATTCTTTCTCTACTTCTCTTTTTTTGTCTCTCTTTTACTATTCTTTATTCCCTTCTGTGTCTGTATTCTTCAATTTCTTCCGTGTCCTCTTTCTCTCTCTTTCATTTCCAGTGTAGCAGTCAGAGTAAAGGGTATGCCACATGTGCAGCAGTCAGAGGAAAGGGTATACCACATGTGCAGCAGTCAGATCAAGGCGTATAACACATGTGCAGCAGTCAGATCAAGACGTATAACACATGTGCAGCAGTCAAATCAAGACGTATAACACATGTGCAGCAGTCAAATCAAGACGTATAACACATGTGCAGCAGTATTTAGTTCAACAGCAACACACACGTTCAGAACCCTAGCTCACCATCACTACACATGCAACAGCCAAGATCAAGTGGAGCTTCCCTCACCCCAACAAGTCACTCCCGTGGCTGGGTGGCTCCCGTGAGACCCGGAGATCCCACAAAACTCAACAGTGAATATGGAACCTGCTTATGGCTCAAATATTTACTCAGGAACATTGCCCCGTTGTGTAGTGAGAGGAATATAATAATTAATAACTAGTAATAATGTTTTGGGTTGCCTTGAGGGGAAATATTCATGGGGTAAAAAAGGGATAATATTTTCTTCAAGTTTCAATGATCGTCAATAAGGATTCAAAAACGATCTTGTTACAGATACGTGGTGGTTAAATTTATGTAAAGGAAATATAGGTTAATATTAGTAGAGTCCGCTGTCTGACACCCGGCCACTTCCCGTAACCTGAAAACAAACAAGAAGGAAGGAAAGAAAACACAGCTTGCATGTTAAGCCTCGAGGGGAATTGTGGCTCCGTGAAGCGTTACTATTTTTGTCAGAATTCCAAGTTGGACTCGTCGAAATATATTTTAAAAACTCCGAAATAGCTGCAGCAGCCTTCATACTCATATATTGTGACGCGTTAGGAATATTAGAGTCCCTGGTGATGGTATAAGCCGGCCATTATGAAGGTTCGAGGAAACACTGAATAGGGTTGTATGTTATATGGCCGGTGTATATATGAGCCAAGAACCTGAAGGAAGCTTTCAAACTTCCTCAGCGGAGTGTGAGTCTCGTCAGTAGGGTTCTGGGTCCTACCGGTCCTCGCCTGGCTCCTGCTGCTCATGCTGGTCCTCGCCTGACTCCTGCTGGTCCTCGCCTGGCTCCTGCTGCTGGTCCTCGCCTGGCTCCTGCTGCTGGTCCTCGCCTGGCTCCTGCTGGTCCTCGCTTGGCTCCTGCTGGTCTTCGCCTGGCTCCTGCTGGTCTTCGCCTGGCTCCTGCTGGTCTTCGCCTGGCTCCTGCTGGTCTTCTGCCTGGCTCCTGCTGGTCTTCGCCTGGCTCCTGCTGGTCTCACTGGTTCCTGCTGGTCCTCGCCTGGCTCCTGCTGGTCTTCGCCTGGCTCCTGCTGGTCTTCACCTGGCTCTGCTGGTCCTCGCCTGGCTCTGCCAGACTTCGCCTGGCTCCTGCTGGTCTCCGCCTGGCTCCTGCTGGTCTTCGCCTGGCTCCTGCTGGTCTTCGCCTAGTTCCTGCTGGTCCTCGCCTGGCTCCTGCTGGTTCTCGCCTGGCTCCTGCTAACCGTCCACGTGTTATTATTTCAGACTTCCTTTACGACAGACCAACTTGCCTCTGATGGCTGACAGTTATAGGGATACGAGGTTTTTTTTTCTCGTTCACATTCCCGACATTTAGTAAGAGCAGAGAATTTCCCCACCATAATAAAATATAAGTCAACGCTGTACATTGTAGTTTCTGAAGACGCCCGAGTTTGAAAAATTCTTGGGACTA